TCATAAACGATTGGAATCGTCTTCCGAAGAACGTTATCAGTACTCGGTCTGAGGAAAATTTCAAGTAGCTGTTAGTCTCCACTTATGTAAGGCAGCAGGATTCCATTGTTCTCCTAAGACTGCCCCAGCTCACTAGGGCTGAGATTGCAATGACACATACTCCTTTTCTGAAATGGAGGTGATGTGGCTGACATGGGACATCCCTCTGCCCTTTACAACGCAATAACCTCAATGAACATAGTGAATATAGAATAAGTGCACTTAAACAAAGGGTCAAATAATTCCTGTAAACACAAAGAAACTGCAGTGAGTAGTGTAGACACATATTTCGAGGATAATAGCAACGGCTGTATTTGAAGGCCCCGCCTGCCTGCTTGCAAATTGGAACGGACCGAATTAGTCCATTTAATGCAGCGCTTGCCCAGGAAGCCGGCTTTAACGCGGATATCCACTGTGAGACAGAACGTGAAGTAGTCCTCTTCAAGGTTACATGTTTGGTCTTCCAAGGTTGGCTCGATAACTGTGACCCGGAATGGTTGCCTTCCTTCACCCGAAGTACAGAACCATGTCTCGAGGAAGAATGCATCTTATAGGAATCCGGAGCTATTATCCCGCCTCGGTTACCACAGAAGGTGCTGGAGGAACTGCACGAAACTCATCCAGGTATCACTAGAATGAAAGGGCTTGTGCGATCTTATGTGTGGTAGCCCGGCATTTATCGCGATATAGAAAAATTGATCAGACACAGAGAAACACTTAGCCCACTTAGTCCATAGAAGTGGCCCGACAAGCCATGGCAGCGCATACATGTAGGCTACTTAGGTCTGCTTAATTGGAAGAGGTTTCTTCTTATAGTCCTTACCTACTCCAAATGGGTCGAGGTATTTACGTTGACACACACTACTTCGGAGACAACTGTTTCCTACTTATGGATATGTATTAGCACGTTCGGTATTTTACAGGCACTAGTGACAGACAAGGGCTCTGTATTCACTACTCAGCAGTTTCAAGAGTTCCATACCAAAATAACAGCACCAAACATGTGAAAATTGCCGCATACCAACCAACCGCAAATGGGCTAGCGGAAAAGGCAGCCCAGACAGTAAAATCGAGTTGCAGACAATTAGCCGCTCCACACCGAATAAAGTTGGGCCAAGTACTACTCGCTTACCTCTCCACACCATGTGAAACGACAGACAAGAATCCAGTCGGACGGATATTCTGCTGAAGGCTTAGGAAGTGGCCAGACTAACTCTTTTCCGAGCAGAGACTACGCATCGTGATGTAGCAAGAGAAATCTACAGAGAGGTACCATCGAATGGTATCGGATCAACAACTTCACGAGGACGAGACAGATTACATGAAATTTCTCCACGAACCCATTCGACAACGTGCAGCGTTACGCGAAATTGTAGGTCAGAGAGCGGAGATTGCACTACCGGGCGGCAGAGTTGTTGCTCATCCTATGGAGCACGTCGGCCATCGTACTTTTTCAATCGGGCTAGAGGACATATTGTCAATCCCGTCAACCGAATCAACAGTCGCAAAGGATACGCAGAATCCAAGCCAGCCAGAAGCCCAAGCAATACGTCGCTCGGCTGTAATACTCCATCCAGTTGATCTTTATTAGGCTGTCTGGGGAAGTTCCAATTAAAGCGAGAAGGAATATGTGTCAGTACTGCCAGTCAGATATTCACACCCAGCATTGAGTGCCCCTACATGGGCGCGTGTATGTCTGTTTATTGATTACGCACATACTATTGGCTCGGTCTCAGCTACTTGATTGATACTTGGTACCGCTTCTTGACATAATACACGTTGCGTGATGCCAGCTCGGTGTCCTGTTGTCCTTGTGTGGTTCGGCTACGAGCCGTTACTACCTTCGCAAACTTGCGTTTGTTTCGAACATGCAGACTTTAAGAATCCGGAGATATCAACTTCCCTAAATTACCGCCCATGAAAACCACCGACTAGTTCAATCTGGTTCGTGTATTGTCTCACTCAGTGTGGTGGGTAGGTTTCTGGGACCCCACAACTATGCTTGAAAGTTGTGTTACGTAATAGGTACCAGGCGCATTTGGATATTAGGTGTTACCAGCGCAAAAGCAGTCCATTTGTGAGCCGGTTTGTTCTAGTACACACCGAGCAGAGCAAGCTCGCGCTGGAACTCGTGTGGCCCCTATTAAACGACCGTCTTGATATGAGCTGCAAATTTGCCACTTAATTCACGCCAAAAGTGTTAAGTTTTCCTAGACAGCGAATCTCCCGCTTAACTTTGTAGCGCTATCTGTTTTTATGCGCCGCTTTGCAAATAACAGTTGGGGTGAAAACGCTTGATCACGTCCCCTAAATAATCTGGTCAAAAGCATTAAGACCCACTTATTTATGTGCTGAGAGATTACTACTCCCAAACCGGTCACACTATGCTTTCTCGAGGGTCATTGAGGGGGTCATTTCTAAACACTCGTTGTGTGAACCGATCGTGACGCGCAAACTTAATTTGAACCTCGATTTACTGTGATGTGAACCCCGGTCACATCGACTACTGGGACCGCACCTGTAGTAGATGATTTCTAGGTGTTACTAGCACGCAACACTGAACTTAATGATCAATTTTCCACTCGTTTACACGCATCAGAGCAAAATAGCAGAGCTATGAGCAGAATCCGGCAGCGAAGGGATGTCGGGCGCAACCACTATCCCAAGGCCACTTAGTGACGCTACTTTTCACGAAACAGCTGTTCAGCGCTTTTTTAATTTTTCGCAGAGCTATCTGGCAACTGGATAAGACGAATCCCACCTAAAATAACATTAAACTCCCCCTACTACACTCAAAGAAACAGTCGTCCGTGACTTTTTTGACTTGACTGTAGTAAATTTCTGTGTTCGAGTTCATACGAGAACTGTTATATCCCTATTCCTTGTGTAACACTCAGTTCGACGATGGTGTCAGGAAGTAGTTGCTTTGGTCAGTCGAAAAGGATTCCAAACCTATATAATAGGCTTGAGTGACCCGTCTATTTGCATCGTTCTGGTTAATATGCGGGGTCTGGATGCGGATTATTTTAAACGATTGCTAGTTGTGGTAACCGCAATAAAAGCAGGGGCGTGACAACAATCCGTCTTCTAAATGTACGACATTTCAGATAACAGGTAGATCCAAGTGGTACTCTTATAGGATAGCTGTTGTTGCCGTTCTCAACATGCTAAACGACCTTATCATGCGTAGCGACAAGTGCATAATGTTTGGGATAACGCTTGAACTGTTACCCTCGCTGAGACTAGTTGGTATTCATAATCTGGGCCAATTCTATAAACACTAAGCCAGGCGCCATCAAACTACTGTCCGCGACGTCAGTTCATCCGGCCCGCCGACTTTACAAGAATTTACTTAGTAAAGCAATTGGAACACGAGACTGATGCAATTTACATTTGACACTGCATGTCGTGTTGTCCGTGATCGTGTACTGTTTAAACACTAGCTCATGGATGCTAGGTGTGAGGCCTTGCAACTGTAATCTCAGTGATCCCACATCGTTGAAAAATTGATCTGAGTTCTCACGCATGAAACCCATTCACCCTACGATGTTTCTGTTTACCTCACAAATCTTGTCTGTAATTTCCATCGGTCAGCTCTCTTGAAGCATGAGTCATTTAAATCGTCGTTTATTAAGATGCAATTCGTTAAGGAACTTATCATTTTGAAGCCATATTTAGAATGCATTGCTAGTTGTTAGTAAGGAATTGTGCTGGTAATTAAGCTTCTTACCTTTTGCTATTGCTAAAAGCATGTAAGTAGTACCGGCATCCAGTGCCAGCACTGTCTGTTGAATTGGATCTGGTAAAAATGTTTTGTTCATATATATATATATATATATATATTGCAAACATTCATATATCATTTATTCTATTACCGAAAGTACCAATAAAGTTTACGTTTGGCTCAGGTGAGCCATAGATCCACAGATGACGACTAGTCCGCTGTTTTGCCTATGTTTCAGTAAGATCAAGACGTTTATAATTCAATTTCCTTTTCTGACTCAGATCTCTTTTACTTCAGTCTTCACCGAGACCGTTAAGAAACGAAAAGTAGACATCAACCGTCGCGTTTTCTTCGTCTTATTTTCCCAGAGACATCATTTTTACTTACAAGTATTGTGTATTATGTTACTTCAGTCCACGATGACCATTTTGTCAGTTATCCGGTCTGTGCAAATCTGTTTTCGGTGATGCGTCCCGCGTTACTCACTTTCGCTAGTAGTCCAGTCCGCCGTGAAAAAGACATTTGCTGTCTCCTTCACTAAGCAAGACACAAAAGCTGGTGCCTGGGACGTAATCCATCGCACGATAAATTGGCAACATACGCATATACACTAGGATAGTCGTAAAATGTTTGGTCTGTGGCGATAGAATGAGAGCTAGTTTGAAATTTCAAACAGATGATACAAAAGCCGCGATTACCTGCCACTGTCAGTGTTAGATCATTGAACACTGCGCCGATCAATGTCTCCATGATGTACAGCACTCGCAACTGATCGTGTATGTATTTTTATCTACAAGAGGCTAGTTTATCCACCTCTATTATACCAGTCATGTTCTGTGTTGTTGCAATACCATTAAACCAGAACCAGTTTGTCTGCAAGACTTTTGAACGCGTCGGCCATATTGAGCCAACTTCTGGAGTAAGGGCATCCTAGGTTTTCGGGTCAGCAAACTGATCCTTTTAGTTCGCGCTGAAGAGTTTGGAGCACTTTAATGGTGCTTGATTCGAAATGGATAATCTCAGCTGTGATTGTATCCAGTCAGGGGATGACCATTCCGAGGTTCACTGTGGTGCACATGTGCTGGTGTGCTATCAAATACAGATGTATATATCGGTGATAACCTCCTTATTGCCTGTCACACATTACTTCATGTAGCTAGAATAGACTTACTGGGTAGTTTTTTCGCTGAATGTGTAGTATGCATCCACGACTCCAATGTCCCATTGTTCTCCGTAGTCACCACGCGCGACCCCCGTCCTGGAGAAGTGCACGGAATCCACTACTTATTTGTCACACCTGAGGAGTTCAACACATTCGTCGAAGCGGAAAGGTAAGCTTCATAACAATCAAACTAATCCAACCGTAACTGTTGAAACTACTCTCCTTTGATAACAACCAGCTTTTATTTTAGATCAGTCATATCGCTGACGGCGGTAGGCATTAGGCAGTGAAGAAGGTGCATCTTAGGCTCAACATTAGTTCCCACTTATCAAAAGTGGCTCACCAAATGATTTCAGGAATAGGGCCGTTTCTTCAAGCTCATGCTCGTTAATTGTGGCCTAATATCTTTCAGTTAGTGTTCAAGTTTTATGGTGGGGTGGATATCGGTTTCGAATGTAAACTTGAAGAGTGGGAGTCTGTTCTCTACGATCACTGTCTGATGGGCCGTGAAACATGTAAGAATCATTTAGACCGAGTTGCACACAGTGGTGGGCATCCTTAAACCGGTCTGGAGGCAGCTCAAAATTTCAGCATTTGTCCAGTGAACTACGATATGTGTTCTGCTGCTCGAAGGGGGTTTCATTTTACGGTATTAAATCCCGGTATTCAATTGAACTCTAACAGCATACGCCAGCGTAAAATGGGTTGAAAAAGGGGAGCAGCAGCGAGATCCTCAGCCAGTAACCATGCATGGAAGGCCTACAACGAAAAGAGAGCAATCGAGTTGTCCATCGATGCTAACTGGGCCCACCAGCGCGTCCGCCTCTTGTCGATTGACCGACATCTGACTCAGTAGTTTAGCGACCAACCACCGTGCTTGCTTTAGAAGGTCACCACACAAAGTATTACCTAACACATTCAAGTGGCCATAATGTCCTCAACCATGTGCTCGTACTTTGTCTCACCATTATGCGGCCACGTCACCTTTCAGTTGAAGGTAAACCGCTACTCCCAAATAATATCGGATTTCGGTGCAAACTTATTATTCAACATCTAAACATCAGAATTCGCATTAAGTTTCAAAACCCACATAGCTCTTGTTGGAAGCACATCTACAAAAACCTAACCATCGCATATTTCAGCCTTATCGACCAATCCTCGTTCACTTCCGAGGAGATGACTGGCCTATGCGTGGATGCTGTGTTGGAAATCATTCAAGCTGGTCAAGTGGCTATTTTCGAGGCCGATTACCGGGTGAGTTTGCAGCGACTTTTATGCATGACCATTTTCGAACAAATGTTTGAGCCCGTCACGGCTTCAGGGTTTCAGCTATCCACTGGTGTGTGTTTTGGAACAAGCAGAATGCCGATTACCTTCTTACCCGGACCAACTAGTTGAGCAATCGGTCAATCAACGACACCTTTTACGGTATACTTGGTGTTCGAATAGGGAATGTGTGAATATTAAGGATGGTGCCACGAGACTCAGGGAAAAAAGTTTTGGAGAATGACTTCTAGAATAACGATGGATTTTGCCATTCCCAAGCAAGTGGCTACGATAAACTAGTTCCTGTGCAGTCCGACTCAGAGACCAAGCAGATGACGCATGTCAGACAAAAATGCCACATAAGTCAGACATGCGCACGACACCTGATGTGAGAAGTGGGAGGTCCTCCCACTAGATGAATACGCTCGCTGTACGGTCCACGAAACTGTCAGTAACTGGCTAGATTAACTAATCGAGCCGGAGTGTTAGAACGGCGGTGGAAATTCAAACCCATCATCAGATGTGAGTACAATGACAGACAGCGTAGGTGATCGAAACGGAAAATAAACAAGTAAGCTGGTATGTTTTGCAAAGGTCCTCAGATTGCCCCCAAGTGTGTAAAACAATTGATCCGGGATGTCAGTGATTTGCGTTAACTTCATAGTGCGCTGAGGCCACTACACAAACGGATCTATCCGCTCCCTACAGAAGCCGCCTCCATACCCAGGTGTTGCCATGCACATGGGGGATAGGTGACGATCCAGCGACCGCACAAGCACTCCATCCCTAGGCACATGTCCTCCTAAAAGAGATGATGACGTGACACATTCTCGGCGTTAATGATTTTACCACTGGCTGCAAAGAACGGTCTATGTGCATGGACGTGAGGCATCCAAAACAGAGACACAACAAGGGGCGGAGGGTGCCGGTCTGCCCCGGGTGGCATTCGACAAGGGGCGACATTTTCATTACAGATAAATGTTGGATACCAAGTGTAAACGGTGAGATTTCCAGCTGAACCGATAATTGAATACTGCAGTATTGCTTTGGATAACCAGAAACACATTCGAGCCATCTGTCACACATGCCTACCGTCTGCTGTTTTCCGCCTTTGGTCACCTCTGTTCCGTTACACATCGCCCCAGTTACTCTTGAACCTAATGTGTTGTCTCGCATAATGCGTTGTACGGCAGCCAAATCATTGAAAATGGTTCCATAGCCTGACACAAGCGCCCCAGGCAAAGCACGACAACTCTTTTTATTTTTTTTACAAGAATCTTGTAATAATACATATGCGTGCACTCACAACAGCACTCTAAATCTAGGTTTATGATTGTTGGCTATGAAACGAAATATTGAAGGGTTGTTCACAATTGTAAATGTTTACAGACTTACAACTTCCGGAGGGGCGAAAATCGTACGACCTTCCCGCGACGGTAAAAGCAGTTATTATGCCATTGATTCAAAAACTACAACGGTTCTTCGATTCAGTATAAAAACGCAAACCAATATACTTTTCGCATTCACCTGTTTAACAGAACTTGGAACACATACGGTCATCTCTGCTGAAGCCATTTGTCGTGTACATCAGTCCACCCTCAATTGACGTCCTTTTAGAAACACGCCTATCACAGTTGAATCGTTTTAGTAGCCCAAATTCTATGAATGGGTCAACTTCCGGAGCTGGCGTTTTATGTTCACCGGCCAGGTCGATGCCCGCTGCCCCTAAATTGATCAATGACGCTGGGTTGGATCGACCTAGAAGGCCTTCGGCTCAGTCAACTCCGAGAATAGCCGCACGACGGTCACACGAGGAGCTGAGAAATTCGAACGCAAACCACATCCAATCGATGGACTATTATCAAAGTACAGGACGCTTTTCAGGAAGTAACTTGACCGTAAGTATTTTGTTATCTTGTTATTATCATTTTTCGTCAGGTCGGTAGGAAACGTTTAACTTCTCAATGTTTCCCATGCCTATATACATTGAAACAGTCTACGAATAGACATAGAGCCATCAGAAAAGATGGAACTCAAAAGAAGGTACAGAAATAGTAAAAGAAAACGGAACAAAACACATCAAAACCCATAGTTGTCCATGCACGCAGGAACGCAATTATTCAAGTGCTACCGCACGTTGGTAATAACGATCGGCATGGGTAAAAATGTATTGTTTGAACATGCATAATGCATAGAAATTCCGAAGTAAACAGCAATAATAACCAAAAATAGTTATTCCACTTGGTACCTTTCGAAGCTGCTTTTCAATGTGCTTTTATATAGTTGAGGACGTCTTGACCGTCGTATGTTTTGTACCCGAACGACATCGAACACAGGATAGGCATTCCTGAGAAAGTTTCGCATGTAATAATTAACCGGCTGCTTAATGGTCCCGAGCCGGCATACTTCCCAGTTTGCATTCTTCCAAATTTCAGTAGGCAACCGGTTTTCTCTCTCATTCAGATGGATTGTTTGTATGACAGATTGCGCAGAAGTTAACTTGAGGTAGGTTAACCAAGGTACAGCAGTATTTGGTGCAATTTTGTTCAGCCTCACGGAGGAATAAGATACCTGTTGCACTTGCACAATCGTGAGAACTGGTAATAATCTCTAAAGACTCGAAAATCTTATCAGCTAGAGGTCTAATATGTATCCTTGTAATAGCAAAATGGATAGGTGCACTGATACGTGAATTTCTTCCATATGATACACCTGATGGAGAAACACCTCATCATTATACACGTTAGCGAAAGTGATTGTCACAGAGAGCTGCAGTTAGGGATTGAGGATGGTTTATGGACCATTCTTCTCATGAAGCTTAACGAAACTGATCACAATGATTAACAATGGAAGTTTGGTAAGAACCAATAACCAGCTTTTGACTACGTGACGTAGCAAAATGTAACATAAAATGCAGGTCCCCAGCTTGTCACTTTGTCCTTCACATCACTCTTTGCCGTAACTAACATGAGGTGCATCACGAGTTCATCGCACTTTTCAAACTCGTTTGTTATCTCTGTAGGAAACACAACTTCGTGAAATGAGCCAAATTGCATCCCGTATCGAGGTGACACACGGGCATTTGTGGGACTGCACACTGGTGAATGACGACCTGCCGGTCGTCCTGGAGCAACTTTCTGAGTTGGCGTATCGAGTGGAGACGGAGGAGCTGTGGGTTCCGCTATCTTGGCTGGTCGACATGCATGAGTCGAGCGGAGTGCATCATACCGGACATGAAAATGCTGTACCAATAGTATGATGAACCTGTTTTGCTCATCATCAAATTTAACTATCCGCTACAGGATATACTACTCCGAGCGGTGCTGTATCATCTTTTGACTGATTTTGTTCTGTGGTATTTCACAATAACAGTGAGGTGCACTCGCGCCATGTACAGCACACAATTATAGTTGAATGGCATGACACACACACAAGCCCGTTCCAAATGATGGGTAGTCACCGAAGATAAGTCATCCAGATCACACGGCTCCCTCAATGCCTCGCAGCCAGTTTGGAGGGGTTCCAACCTCGATCCTTAAGTGCAGCACGGGATATATAGCCTCGGTTACTACGGCACGTACTTGTGTTGTGGCACCTGGGTTATGTGCCTGAGAGACGGTAAATGGACGCTGGGATGAATAGATCTTTTCTTCGATTATAGTGAAGTTCAAACTGTTCAGGCCATCCAGCCGATATAGCGACTTCGAGAGTGAAAGGATCCGAGCTCTGAAACAGAAATAGTTCGATGTATGAAAAGGCCTGGCTTGTTTAAGGAGTTACTCTCTGTGAAAGGTTTGGACACCAGATCAACTAGTTCTGTTCGTAACTCTGGATCAAGTGGGCTCAACTGCCATGCCGATACGGTAAAACCAGTTGACAGCGATCCATATCTGGCCCTCACCATCAGACAAGTCGGTCCAAGCCGAAACTAAATTCCCTTCTATCACTCAGAATCAAAGTACCTAGGTGCGTTGGACCTGGTAATTTTGATTTTTACACGGTGAATCCAGTCGTTATAAGTTGTCGCAAACGTGGTTAAGTTAATTCGGTGACACAGCGTGTGGGGAAGCAAGTACAGAACTTACTGGAAAATTGTCAAAAGCAGGTGCACTTGTCCGATGCAACAAATAATAATTGTGCGTTTAGGACCGAAAACTTGAACATTACTTAGGTTGCGATTGTGGCATTCGCTTAGGGATTCCTGTGACCAAAATGATCGATCAAGAGTCCTCATCTAAGACGTTAGCGGTTTCTGATCTAATTCTCTAGTCTATTTTGCGAAATCATCTGAGGTATTGATCGGGCCAGCACAATGGTTAAACAAACACCTCAGTAAGCACTAACTAACCACTGTATGTCCCTGAGTCAGGCCCACATTAGCAACCGCCAACTGAAGCTTCCATTCTTATCCACTTGGCGCTTTTAACATAGCAGCCCTTAATCACTAAAGCGGACAATTGCATACATTTCTGGAACGCAGTCACACAAGTCATCCTGACTAAAGTCCTTCAATCAGTTGAGTCAAGCCAAGTCATGTGCACTTGATGCACATGAGTGAGTTCATTTCCAGAATTTCACAATATCCACTTCGGATGAAGTAAACTGGTACAATTCAAAACTCCACAAATGGAAACGTTACTTGCGTGAACGGAGTCTATAGTATGCAGGTAACGTCTTACATTGCTGAAGTGCGTCATTGGTGTTGACGGTACAGTGTCGAAGCCCAGTTTACCAACGGGCACGAGGATTCCTCAAGTAAACAAATAACTTTTATAAGTTTTGTATGTGTTTATGAGTTCATGGCTGCATTCAACAAGTATACTACGCGCATCATCACAAGGTTCTTTTTCAGAATATCAACAGAGAGCAGCATTAGTGAGGCTGTAAATACTCTAACCCAAGAAAGTGTCAAAACTATGTTGTAAAAGCCTTTAAAGCCGCACATGGAGTACAAACGATGTTTCAGTGAAAAGACGAACGTCGACTTAAACGTCCCGCCTTTGAATTGCTAAGCCTCCGATTCCTACCTAACAATTATCATTAGTGAGAAAAGAACCGGAAACAACTCTCGGTTGTCGAGGCAGGGAGTGCCGGGACACAGGCGTGTAAGCAAAAAGGACAGTACCGTGCATTGTACATAAACCGGATGACACTCACCGCAAGTGTTCGGGAAATGCCGGGCTCGGTTTGTGAGGAAGCATGTGGAATCGAGATATGTTTATATCGGCGCGCGTGATTGGAATACGGTTTTCTGTCAACCTGCCAACGGGTGCACCAAGAAATAAAAAGCATCCATTTCGATACACATAACCGAAATCAGTCGAAACAATAGAAATAGTGATTTTTGGCCGCTGTACATATTTCTTTGCAGAGAACAGAGTACAAGATGTGTCAGCTCCACGTGGCATCTTGTCCGGTCTCTACTCTCCTCCGGAAGAGCCTGGACGTATGAAACAAACGGAGCTGTTGATTCTCGACCAGTTAATACTAATAAGCAATAGGGCATGAGAAGCCTACAGCTGACCACAAACCGAGTTGAAACGAGCGAACTAGATTTGTAGTACTTGTTGTATACGGATGGTCAAATGCACGAGCAAGTTAAAAGGTTACTCTGGTAAACGAACTGCTGTAATCTGATTTATGTCTAACTGGGTGAGTAGATTAAGGTGTCGCAAGGAAAAGGATGAACCAATAGGGAAGCAGAGAATTAGACGCTTTGTGTGTGTGTGCGTCTGGGATTGTGTGCACGTGTCTGTTTCGACTAGCCGTCAAGAATGCTGACAGAATACACAACAGTACTAGATCCAAATTTCCCATGTTACGGTGAATTCGATTTCAAGTCCTTAAGTGTTTACTTACTAGAAGGATATGTGGTGATCCACTGACCGGCTAGCTGCAATGTTACCACCATAAATATACCCGTAGGCTTCATCTTCGTAACGTTCCGTCTTCGGACTTAGGTTACAGAGCTTGCAGTTGTAGACGGTATCGGGTTTCCATCTCTCCATATGACGGATGGATTCATGTGTGCGCGAACTTTATCATTCCAATTTGGGATGCGAATAGGCAAAGTTTTCAGTCGTCCGGAGGACAGTATCTCTTCCATCGTGATTGAAATTAATGAGGTTGGGTGTTATCATTAAGGGCAACTATGCGTTCGTCTAGCTATCAAGCCACACAACTGGATGCAACGTGCCGCGCTCTCGGTGATATATACTTGTCACATGCCCACCAATATGGGTGGCGTTCTCGGGTGTGTTCAGGCCGATAGCATATCATCCTGAACCATACAACAAGGAGAGGGGGAGATAAATGTACCGAAATACTTCACTGGATCAGGCTTCCGCACGCCGGCCAGGAGGTTGCAGTTGTTGGTGAAATACTCAGTAGTCAGTCAAAATTGTCGCACCGTTTCACGGAGAAAGTTCTCAGATCATTGAGCAGGCCTCAGAATCGTTGTGTTCTCATGACTGTCGACTACACTATTTTCACAAAACCGACACGCAAAGCTATTATCGCAAATGCAGTAATTGGCCACTGAGAATGAAAGGTCACAAGCAACAGTGCAGACAGATCGAAGCAAGCAAGTTTCTTTCAGGTCTTTAGGCGTCCGCTAACATAAGACAAGATGATCTGAAAAATCCAAGTGCCGTTGCAACCCACATGTATCGCACTCACCTGATAAACATGTCGTCGTCTTCAGCACCCCATCCCCAGTACAGATTGGAGAAACCATTGACCCGTAGAAATGTTTTCACCGGTAGCGATAGGATACCTCCAATGAGTTCTACATACGGTAGCCTATGGAATTCCATGGAGATTGGTGTGATTGTAACAACAGTGTTGAACCATTTTCAAGTCGCGAAATCATGTCATGCACTCTGGGTGGCTAACTGACATATACACGATCTTAGCAATGTACCAAAAGACAACTAAATTACCAGATAGTATCATAAGAAGCAGTTTGATAAAGCATAGACAAAATGCCGTCATATTGCAAATCGGCTAGTTAGGCATAGAACGGTAGAGTTTGGGTCTAGTAAAATATGTGATAACTAAAGAATGATATACGAGCTGTAGAACTGTGTGCGAGCGTGTAACAATTTGTACTTCTGTCTAGTAGACTAAGTCGATAAGCATTAAGATAAAGCGTTATTGAAGGGATGACTTGTATCAACCAGTATATTGGACGTCAGATTCTTTCAAAAACTGATGGGTGTAGACAGAAGTATGTTAACAAAAGCCAACAGCAGAACGCCGCTACATCAGGAGAGATGTCTTAATGACCGTACGGTTCAATTAACCAAAAGTTTGAGAAAATTACAGGATAGTAGTACGCCCACTGGGAAAGAACACAGGCATGGACAATACAAAGAATCAAAGCACGAGGCATAGAGGAGGCTCTTAATTGACAGGCGTAAATCGTAGTGCACTGCCACACCTAGGTAGTTCACTGATGCAGCAGGGTAGTCTACGGTCGTCAATAGGGATCTTGGAGCGATGCGTGAGCGGCGGTTCCTACATAGTTCCACTGTGTAGCGAAAAAAAGAACATCGTGAGAGTTTGATGCCTTAAGAAACAGCTTACGAGCTCTAGACCAAACTTGGAAATCGTTTGGAAGAGCTTGCAAGTTGACTGAGTCATCGGGGGTTCGATGTTTGGTACCCAGGTGGATGTCATCTGAATATTTAGTAGACACTCTTCTTCTGACACTGAGTTTGAGACAGCCTAAGTGGAAAAGAAAAAAAGCGGCATAATTGCTCCATGAAGGACACCCGAGTTGGGGACTATTGGAAATGCGCACCTGCCACAGTCGGGTAATCTGAGTGCGTCCAGCAAAATGATCACTCAGCAAAGGGATGATGGAGGGCTGTATTCTTTGAATCAGTAGATATTTTACTCGCAACAGGCGAGGCACCCAGCCGAGTGAATTTGTTTCTGTTGTCAAACATGTACGATATCGAATGTACGAGGCAGACCACTGTGTCTGGGTTAGAAGTTCAGCTACGGTAGGCGATTTAAGCAGGATCATCCGAGCGCGTTTGCAACAATACCACATCAAGCATGATTTTTTTCCAGAACCTTCAACGGAACATAAATGCAAGCAATTGATGGATATTTTCTGTGTCTGAAAAGCGCAGTAACAGGACGAACACTGGCAAATGCACGCTTTTCGTAATATCTCATCATTATCACGTCTCAGCATAAATCACAATAATATTTATTTAGTGAAGGGAGCGACCAGTCATCCAGATTGGGATTTGATTGTCACTGTGGCCAGCCACAGGACGCCTGCGTTTACAGAGGGTCTATGGATGGCTTGCGCTGCACCACCCACAGCTCCAACCACACACCCCATATCCAGTGTAAACCCAAAGGAATAAGACCGGGAGGAATGTGGATGGGAGCCACGTTTCATCAACAGAGCCAGCCCACACTCCTTCAGAGGCAAACACATGCACGCTGTATTTGGGATCAAGCGCACACAACGCGGTGGCTGGACCGTGGTCCGCTCCACACTGAGTGTATGGAACCACTCTTTGATCCTAACACGGCCACAAGTACCGTGCACCCCGTCCCCTCCAGCAACGACCAACTGTCTCCTGGAGCCAGTATGGAATAGGTAGTGGGTAATAGACAGGTAGGCACCTTGTCAACATGCACATCAAGCGCAGCCACCGCGGGGATTTCAAGCTACGGCTAAACAGTTGAGGCGAAGATAAACCGATTAATGCATAGAGAGACGGTGTCATAACACTTCAATAAACGAGTGCATGGAATAAATTGTTTGCGAACAAATCCGCGATAAGTTCAAGACTTCATAAAATATATTTTAAGAAAATGTCACAAACGAGAAAATGAGATCGAAGAGTTAAGCTAGACATTAAAATGAGATAAAAAAGCAATAATGAGACAATATAGCAAACCCTGCCACCTGAAATAAAGAGACTTAGCATGCAAGCACGCGGTTAGTAAATCGAATGCAGTGTACCTACAAACGCTGCGCCGATTATGCCTACCTTCTCTGCAGGAACCGTCG